ATTTTTTGGGAGGGAAAGAAATAATTAATTCAAGTGAAATTTCTAGGCTTTATAGTTATATATTTGAACACCTTTCACATATTTTTTGGATACGAGATCTTTGATATTCTGCCTTTGGGAAGCAATTGCCCATTTCGGCCGGCGGGCAGGCATTTTCTATCAGAAACAAAAAATTCTAAGATATTCATATTTTTCTATTATTCTAGTTAAACCAAGGAAATTCCAAAAAAAGTGTAAAATTTCCGAAAAAAAAAATTTTTTAATTGAAAAAAGTGGTTTTTTGTTTAAAAATATGTTCAAACTTGACTTTTCTTAGTTTGTTTATTATAGTTTAAATCAGTGGCGCTCATTTAATAACAACGCAATAAAAATCCAAACACACGTGTTTGACTGATAATTCTGCTGCTGCGAAAAATATCACACGCACACGAAAGCGGCTGAACACGTATGCTAGGTCAACACAAAGAATCGGCATTTAGTACACTGACGAAAATTATTTTTTTATTGAAACTGATGAAGGGGAATTTTCCACTTTCAAATTAATTCAAAATAAGCAAAGAAACACGCTTTCTGACCAACATCTTACCGATCTTCTACGCATTAAGGAGTATAAAGGGGAAATCAATATTGATGATGTATTATCGAAACGAGCCGAGAAATCGCGCTTCAAAGTTTTCGCTTTTCGTCCAAAGGGCTCATAAATCTGCTAGATGCTCGGTCACTATTTCCCTTCTAATTTCGATAATATTTCGAATTCCCATCTATAACTTTGGGGGTATATTCTTAGATAATTTTTAAAGAGATTTAAGCAAAAACAAAAAAAAATCGATTATTTGAAGCTTCTAAAGCAGCCTATCCCATTAATAAAGATTTCGTACCAGAATTTATTCATCTTATAAAAAATGAATTAGCAATTTGGCAAATGAAAAGTGTTCCGCTTGCCTGTGGCACATGTTCACTGTGTGAAGAACGAACGCAAAATGGATTTGTGTGTCGTGCATGGGCGAAACGAATTCAGACAGATCGAACGCACATGTGTGTCGCGCATACACACATACATGCACAAATATTTGCATGTTACAAGCGTAATCACAATTAAGGGTTTAATTGAATTGGAAGAACAAGCATAATTACGCCAAGTACCTGAATCAATTAAAAAATTAAACAAAAGTGCCATATAATCGCTTTGCCTGACCTTGTGTTTGCCAGCACATTCGCATTTCTTACTAATTTATTAGTGTATTGGCCGATAAGCAATGTGCATGTATTAGCAATGCATTCATCACTAAATTTAGTCAATACAAAATAATAATTTTGATACAAAATATTGTAGAAATAGCTGGCTTACAGGATGAAAGCGATTTTTAGTTATTTTCTGCAAACATACATATGTACATATAACAAAATTAAATTTTCTGTAGTGTAATACCTCTACGATGCCGATATTGAGGAAACACAGCTATATAAGCGCGGACTTGAGTGATTTACAACACGTATTTTCCAACGAATACCACAATGAACTTATAAAGCACTTATATTCGATAATGCGCGTTCAAATAAATAAAAATTTTACTAGTTACATACAAACTTTTAAGAATTCGTTGACGAGAGTCGAACGTCCTCAACTTCCACTCAACTGATTTATCGTCGTGGCGAGGGAGAAATACTTTTTCGACTACCCAATATGTAAACTAGAGGGGGTCGATTTACAAGGAGCCAAAAAAATAGAAAAATTGCGTATGCGAAAAATGTTCTACTGATTATTCTGGACAACATTATGTAAAAGGCTATGGGTTAAACTGATTTCGAGGCAGCGATTTTTAATGCGAAGTTTTTATGGGACCAAAAAATTTGTTCCACGGTTTTTGAGATATTCGAATGAAATTCAAAAAGTCGGTGCATTTTGACCTTCTATTGATTATTTGTCGGAATTGACCGTATCGTACAACTATATCACATATCTACCATGAAAGCGACTATATAGATTTTTCAAACTTCCCCTTGAAAATCGTTGACTCGAAACTCCCTTTTTTTTTTAGAAAAAAATCGACCCGCTATAATGTAATCTAAAAACCGAACCCGTCTACGATTTGCATCCAACTGAATATATTATATTATCCAGTTCTTTCTAGCAACAGTGTTTGAAAAATCAATCTTCAAGCCGAGTTAAAGTTTCTTAAAATGAAAAAAAGATATTTTATGAAATTTCTATCTTGTTTTTGAACAATCAATTTGAATATCTAAATTTGGCGGACTAGTGCGCGCACAAATAGGCATACGGACATGGCTAAATCATTCATATCGTCACGATATTTATTTATATATATACTTTATAGAGTATCCGACATTTCATTCTGGCCGTTACAAACTTCGTGGCAAACTTAATATACCCTGTTTCGGGGTATAACTATTCTTGATTAACAAAAAGCTAAAATTTCATCCTCAATAGGTGTCACACTAACGCCTAAACTGAAACACCTGCAACAATTCAAATTTTCGCAAAATTTAATTAAAATATTTCTTCAGCAGTTATGCTCCCACATTATACACGTCACAGTTTTAATAAATATACTTATGGGTACATATTTATGTTAAAAATACCATTTTGATCAACATAAGTTCCGCACGACAAGCACTTGTCATCGAAAACGTAGATGGTCCGGTTTCGTGGCACTCTCATGTATGCGCAGCGCAACAAGTCCGTTTCCATGGTCAACTTTTTAAATGAACCCATAAAATAGCGACTTATCATTTCAACAATACACAGATTTGAGGAGTTGCAATTAGTTTAGCCGCACTTTCCGCTCGATAAGTGGAGTTTAATCTACTCAAATTCAAGTATACAGCACTAATGCCAAGCCAATTACGCGTCTTTCAACAAAAAGTCAATAAATAATCACCGAAACACACACCGCATATATTATATAAAGATATATCGATATCACTTCCAATCTACAACAAATTCCAACGAATCGATAATGACAATTAAAAAGTACGTCGCCACACGCCGCCATCTACATCTATGGATACTACATCATTTGAACGTGTGAAATGCGTATAAGTATTGCGATCGGCATTAGCGGACGTAGCTTTTCAATTAATATTCAACTACACCCCTTCTATTGACAACCAGAATGAGGGAAACATATCCGTAAAAGCGCCTACAATATGGGAATCAAGCAGATGGCAGGCGACAGCTGTCAATGTTTAKCACGGAATTATACGCACATCAGCGCTTGAAAGATCTATTGTACACTGYCCAAGCAATCCCAAATGGTAAGAGATTTTAAGGAATTTTGCTTACTTTTTTCTATTTGGGTTAAAAAAAGTTCCAAAATTAAGCGAATTGTTTGTTGGAAGGGAAAAGCTATTCTTAACTACGAGATTAGCTCAATAAATTACATCTCTTTTGCTAAAAATTTTACGTAAATTTTGGTTGCATTTGGTCAGGCATCGATCGTGTATTAACCTTACATTTAGGACTTAGAAAATTGAGGTCAATACCGATCAATCCAAAGTTTTAAAAATAGATGTCATGACCAAAGCAAGAAACTTCGAAAAATACATGTTTATACCCTGAGCTATATTTGTCACACCAGAAGGAAATGTCGGAGACCCTATAAAATATATATATATATATATATAAAATAATCAAAATGGCGCACTGAGTCAATTTAACCATTTATGTTTGCCTGTCTATCTGTTTATATATTCGCGAACTCGACCCTTAGTTTTTTAAGAAATCGGTCTGAAATTTCGCACACATTCTTTTCCCTCCAAGAAGCAGCTCATTTGTCGGAACCGCAATTATCGGATCACTATAGCATTTAGCTGCCATACAAACTGAACGATCTTACATTTGACGAGATATATTCACGAAATTTGGCAAGTTCATGGACACTATTTCAATCAGTTTTTATGAATTATATAGATGCTCACTTCAGTGTTAGAGTATTCTGCTTTAAAGTTGTAGCGTAAATGGAGAATTTCGAATGCTTTTATAAAAAAAATTATCATAGAAAATATTCCGAGTTCCAAAATAATCAGAAGGTACACACATATATGTGCACACGTACATGTGCTCATATGCATAAGTATGCTTCCCGGATTATACATACAAACATACATAAGAGCGAGTGCTATTCTTAGTCGCAAGAGTATAACAAATTATCGCAATTCTATAAAAGCTTTGTTTATTTGTTGCCTCGGCTCAAGAAGTTTGTTGAACTGAAGGCGTGCGGGCGCACGTTTTTATTCCCGCTCCATACACACATACAAACAGACATATGAATAAGTGCAATTCGAATTCATATTAAAAGCAACTCGTGCATTTCAGCTCGCTAATTATTCTCCAATTTTCATTAA